AATGTTCAAATAATAGTGAAAGGTAAAGGATGTCAAAGATTTAAAAATTTCTCACCAGTTCATCGTAGTAATTCGCGATTTGCGAATAGATGAGTGAATCGTAATCCATTGTCACAAAGCACTATGTAGATGAAGGGCACACACGTGACAATATGACGTCACTTAAAACTCAAAGACGGAAGTGAACGAAAAACGCGGCGAAAGGGCCAACGTGTAATTGTAACTGAGTTTTCCTGAACAGCGTCGATACAAGACGCATTGGCCGAGCAACGTCTGACGTATACGCCGCTTGTAAAGCTAAAATAAGACCAAATTTTAAACACAAATCTTCGGTGCGAGGCAACGCACAGAGCTGCGTTTACCACTACGCTAATTCAAAATGTATTCGATGTTAAATTAAACAGCTCGATTCGTTAGCTTCCTGTTGTGATTCAGCGACTAATTACTGTTAATTATTGCTACGAATACCTATAACGTTCTATACATTGTCAGCATTTTTATTTAGAAATTATTTTTAAGTTTAACGCCTCAACATTAATTCTTGCTTCTCACTGTTTTCCAATTGAGTATGTAAACATTTTAGGAGTCTTCTAGAGTATTCTATATCTTTGTCACACATGTATTTTATTAGTCACACTGTGTAACCACACCACAGTTATTACGGAATTTTAATTCAAAAGGAAGCGAGTTATGCGTGTTCCTAGATTTTGCGTTGCCTAAACTGTTTTACCGTTGTAAATATAACATTGGTTATTTGAAAGTTTGCAGAACGGTGCAATTCGAATGCACAATAATGTTTGACAAATGCAACGTAGGACGGGGGACGTTAGTAAGAGGGCTAGAGACGGCTGGACAAAACGTAGTCTGCCTCAACTACACCGCAACACCGCATTGTTGGAGTTTAGTGTTATAGTATACTGAAATAGTATGACATGATATGCTTAATAAGTAAGTAATCTGTCGACTGTTTTAAGTCATACTAACTAATATTATAAAAAAAGTTTAGATGGATAGATGGACGTATATCGATGAAATTTGTATAGATGTAGGTAGTTTAGAAGAACACATGGGCTACTCACTTTTGTTTCTTTAAGTCGCCGGCGAAAGCTAGTGACACGTGTTAGTAAAATTTTATTAGTATGAATACTCTTCAAAATTAAAAAAAAAAACGATATTTATGCAATTGCATAAGAGAAGTATAAGTTAAAAAAAATAATTAAAAACACTATTTTAACACTATAATTAATTTTTAATTTACTTTTGTTGTATACAAGCATGACTCCGTCCGCATGATATTAAAAATAACAAAAAGCATAGCCTATGTTACTCGCTGATAACGTAGCTTTTTAATAGTGAAAGAATTTTTGAAATCGGTCCAATAGTTTTTGAGTTATTTCAATACATACAAAAATACAAATCTTACTTCTTTACAATATAAGTATAGTAGAATGTTTCATTTATAAGTCACATGGAGAAAAAAGCTAACAAAGTTATAACAAACTTAAAAACAGTTAGCACGGAATAGTGATTCAGGGCACAGCGAGCCAAGATTCGTAGTTTATTTGATTTGCTGCAATCGCATCCTCTAATTCCCATACCAGCGGCGCACGCACGACCTGTTGCTCACGTCTGGATACTTTCCAGTGCTAAGTGAAATATAGTCAAATAAAAGTATTGTTATTATTTAAGTTTTTCAATTTTCACAACTCCGTGCCAAGCGTGCGTGCTAAGTTATTAACGTTTGGTGCTTAACTCCGTATTAGGTCTGCATTCGGAATGTACACGTGTTGAGAATTTCTCTTTATCCACAAATTGCTTTTATTTCCTTGTAACGGTCTGTAATGATTTTCCTTTTAAATTGTTGAGGAAATTTATGAGTGTTGTTAAGATTAAGATGTGTTTTTTTGTTTGAATTAAGTTTTCAATTTTACTCATATAATAAATACGAAAGTTACTCGTAGAATATGTAGCCCAAACTGCTGGACGGAACTCGACGAAATTTTACACAGATGTAGAGGATACACTGGAAGAATACATAGGCTACTTAACTTATAAAACTTACGTGAGATATTATACCAAGTGCCTACATCGGAGTTATCACGTGAGTTTAGTCGTGTTATGATTTATATAGGCTACTTACTTTTTTAATTCCACGCGGACAGAGTCGCGGGCGAAAGCTAGTATACTTACACAATATTGGAATAAATTATGTCTTTTATTTATCAGATATGTAATGTCTATTTGCAAAGAAATTCCCTAGATAGTAGCGCAACATTTTGGTACAATTTACTAATGTTCCTCAACATAATGTTATTCTGTTTCATATTTTGAGCTGTCGCACCTAAGGGAATACTAAAGGGAGTTTGTAATGCGGTTGAATTTTACTTAAAGTAATTGAATCTGAAAATACTTGATATGATAAAGTAAAAATATAGGTCGCCATTACTACGAGTATAAGGTTCTCAAGACGTGTTTATGCTTGTAAAAACGTTTAAACACATTATACAAGTTAGTGTAAATACAAGTCCTAACATGTTTTAATTTAGATAACTTAAATACGGTTTCTAAATTTTGAAACAATAGATAATTCTATGTAGTTTTCATATCCAAACTAATTAAGATTCAAATCCATACTAGAACATTCTAGAATCTATAAACTTGGTTATTACCTTCTCTTTCTTATCAGTATCTTTTCCCACCGACAGTTAACGAAGCGAGCAACAGTAAACCAGTCATAAATCTTCACTCAGTAAATAATTACAGCGATAATGTAATCCGATAGCTATCTTTATCACGGATGACGTCATTGATAGCTGATATTTTACTAGGATTAGCCTGTTTGAATAATTTCATATTACTTTGCCTCTGAAACAAGAGAACTCCAACAGAAGCTATACTGAATCGTAATTTTAATAAGATGACAGTTCCACTTACATACGTCCATAGATAACCAAGTAACAGTTCTTTAAAATTTCATGACCACTGTTGGAAGACCTTTCCCAATACCTTCCGCAAAATGCGGCCCTTCCGAACTGCCTACAAGATATCCAAATGGAGTGGTCAAATGTATTTGGTTACAATTATTAAACTATACAGAGAAATATGATTTCTTTAATATTTCTTTTGATTTGTCGCTACCTATGTGAACGACATAGGTATGTAAGATTTGAAACCACATGTCCTTGAGTATACAGTCTTCGCCTTGAGCCGTTAGACATTAGGTACGTCTCGTTAGCTTGCGGCTTACATCGCCTTCAAGTAAGATATTTGCAGTAATGCTTTGGGTTAGAAATTCACGTCACTTTAACCGCAGCGTAAAAATAAATCTGGCATAAAATAAAAATGCAAAAATATTAAAAAGAAAACATTTTATTTAAAAAATATATGCACAATTTGAATGTGAACAAATTATTTCAATTTCAAAAGAAATTTATACATCAAAATGCTAAATAAATGTAACATTTGAAAAAAAATCTCTACATGTCATGCGCACGTTCTACTTCGAACATGTTATAACCGCGTATTGTCGACGAGAAAATTTTATCTTGACGATTTATTTCACGCTGACTTTATATAGCGAATTCTTTTTAATACAGAAAAAATACGACCCGATGCGTTTACGCCTTCAGATACGAAGCATACCTCATTATTTATAAATGCCGTTATGGGCTCAAAATTTCTTACGCCTGAATTATTTAATCTCCTTTTCCATTAGGGTTTTGCGAAATGACACAATATATATTCAGAGCGTGCACTGGGAATGTACGAAAAGGACTTAATGGAAAGATTAAATTCAAGATCAAAAATTGAAAACACAATGATTTTTATTTGACCAATGATTTACATCATTCCAAAACTAAAATTTCTGAAACAAAAACCACCCTTTTTCTGATAATTATAGGACGGAAAGGGAACGTGGATTTGATGGTGGAGGAGACACATAGGAAGGAGTAATATCATCTTTATGTGCGTCTCCTCCGTCGATTAAGGGTAGGTAACGCATCCGCTATTGCGAATATCTATGGGCAGAGGTCGCTTGCCATTTTGGCGGATTCAGGGTCGCTTGCTAGTTTGACACCTTATGTTATAAAAAAAAAAACTAAAATTAATTTGATCTATACTGAAAAAGATTAACGAATTTTTAATTTCGATAAAATAAAAGGTATTTTTTACAAAATAAAAACATTTCTATGATAAAATAGTTATTATTCTCCATTTAAAATGTATACGTAAAGTATTAAATTATGATGTAATATTTTCCATTAAAAACTTTTCATTTCTAACCTTTCGGGACGGGACGGGCTTCTGAAATTTTAATGCAAAGTAATCTTAACACGTTCCCTTCAGTATCGGGACAAATTAGTCGCACCTGATCCGAGGGTTGGAGCAGTTTTTAGTTATTCAGCCGTCATTTTGTAAAACTAATGCGAAACATGTGGAATATTCTATACGCTTTTTAGTCTACATTATCATTTTAAAAGCTATTAAAGTGTCATGTTGATCGTCGTTAAAATCATACAATACATTTAGGACCTGTAAAAATGTTTAGAAAAAACCCTGCAGAGATTTATTCCTAAAGGACTTAAGATGACGAGAGCCCGCTCTCATAAGGCTCTCTATAACGCCGTTGATGGTCCTGTGTTGTAGGAATTCGAGTTATGAATATCCCCTATATAAAACATTTTTCAACAGGAAAGAGTTACAAATCGCGTTATCAAGAGTTTCTTCCTTTAGAAATTGTTGGGATTAATCGCGTTACAGGCAGTTATTACTTCGTTATATGGGGTACAGAATTCGCGTTATAAGATTGTTCGTTGTAAGAGGGTTTACTAGATTAATTTGTTTAATATAATAAAAAGGAACAGGCTGTGACGTTGTATCTGGCATGTAACGACTCAACTTCGTATGTCACGGGTGGACGAAAAAGACAATGTCATTAGGTTACATGACTAGCACGTAAGACGAATGTGGTAAATAAATAGTTACTAACTGAAGTGTCTTTAAGGCCAACGGCGGGAATATCGAGGTGGTCCACGACCCACGAGGCACATAGACATCCGCAACACCAGAGAAGGTACAGATGCGTTGCCGTCCTTTGTTGATTCTCTAAACATTTTGCGATACTGTATAACACGTAAATGTAATAACATCGTTGGACATGTTTTATCAAAAGAAATAAAAGCATGATATGTTTTTTATCTGTGGTTTTTGTTAACAGAGTTGGTAATGTATCTCGTATGAAGCTAGTTTATGAGGCAGTTTGACGTTACCCTTTCCGCGATAAGCCGAGTGCTGTTTGATAACTTTGGAAGGACAAAGCCCAGTGAGTTTACGATGATACTAACATTATTCCGGAATCGTTTTATGGCTTTAAATAAAATTACTTTCATAAAAACTTCATGACAAAAATATAGTTTTTGTTGTTTTAATATTACTACTTTAATGCGATATTTCGGTAGGCTTTACGTTACCACATATCTTCATAACGGGTAAATGGAACAAGAGAAAATTAGTTTACCTGGAATAGATTGCTACTAAATAATTTTAATCCACGAAAACAAATTCAATTTATGTCATAATTGATTAAAAAAATTATTTAAAAAAGTCACATTTTACTTAGATCATTGGATTCGATATATTTTTGTTATAAAATTGTATAATACAAATATATTAACAAATTTTAAGTAAAATTTTAGACTTACCCCAGGTAATGTCCGTTTTTCGTGTAACGCTGTTTGTGCGCTTGAAGCGCTTTCTGGATTGAAGTATGTGAGGAACGCACATCCTGCAGACAAACAAATTTGAATTAAAATTGTATAGATTATTTAATAAATTCTTGATAACTTTCTAATAAGAGTCCATTATTAAGTTAAAGTAGAGCTAATACAATGCTTAATGATACCACAGAAATCTATTTATCCAAAATTTTTAAATAAAAACAAAGTTATTATTTGTTTATCAAAAAGCTTATAAATACTTATACGTTTTACAATTTACGAAAACAATTTCGTATCTCAATCTTTTGTATAGATTTAACTAAAAAGATAAAAAAGTAAATTCGATCAGAAATTTCCACCTCGGCTTAACTTTACCAGATTCAATTTATATTGCGATCGATACGCGAACGCATCGAATAACATAACCAAAACAAACTAATCCACGGCTAGTCCGCAGACCGCGTGGTCACATCGCAGATTACCAGCATTAACAACTAAACGATTCCACTGATCACGTTTTAAATGACACTAGATTAAGTATATTTAGACCTTTGACTAAACTATCGCATAACGGTTTAGTTTAGCGCGATTTTTAGTTGTGCAACTAAACAGTTGATTTGGCTGCAAAACAATCGACAATCGCACATCAGTGGATATACGCACGCTCTTAGATTCGAAATTTTTTTTAAAGGTCGTAAAAATATGTTTAAACAAATATTTAATTAGAGTTTACTACACTAGTTTTTTGTTGTTTTTTTTTAAATAATATTGAATCCTTTATTTATTATTATTATTTCACTTTCAAAATATATACATTTCATGAGAGCCTTGGCTCCTGCACTAGGTTCCCCTGTGCCGCAGTTCTAAAATTATTTTTTTCAGAAAATCCAACAATGTTTAACAAAATCTTGAGTTGGGTTTCCACGGTGCGTGATTCTGTCAAAGGTACTTCTACATCTGTATTACTCATTGTTATTTTAAGTCCCGTATATTTTCACGTATTCATTAATCAAATCGCATAAATAATTCGACACTAAATGTTGGTACAGAAATAGTTCGCATTAGTCACAGACTAAATCATTTAACATTTACGTATTAATGGTTCATAATAATTACCGCATGACGTGCTCGTTTAATATATTATTTACAATCATACATGAATATGCAAAAAACTTTAACGTTTCGTGAAAAAATTGACTTGAAGGATATTCCAATCTCTTGTTAAGACTGCAACACACATTTAGTTTTAACTGCACAATATCGTACTATTTTTATGGTTCAATTATTAGCTTACTTATAATTAACTTATTTTCAATTATAAATGTATTGGAGGCTTTTAATCTTACTAATCTTATCTTACTAATATTATAAATGCGAAAGTTTAGATGGATGGATGGATGTTTGTTAGAGTTTGTAGCATAAACGGCTGAACGGATTTCGGTGAAATTTGGCACAGATGTAAAAATTTATCTTCTTGGACTATCCTCTAGGATAGTCTGAAAGAACACATAAGCTACTCACTTTTTTTTTAATTCCACACGGATAGAGTCGCGGGCGGAAGCTAGTTTTAGATTTAAAGTTTAAACAAATAAATAGAAACATTTAGTTAAAACCAAACGTGTGTAGCTGGTTAATAAATTTTTAACTTGAAAATTCATAATTAGGTAATTGTTTCTTGTAAATCTATGTTTTCTATATTCTTGATATTACGTTATAATATTAATATTGTCTCAAATACTTAAGACCAAGGTAAAGTAAAGGTAATAAAGTCCCTTATAATCACTCCTTTCCCTTTTTTCATTACATTTTTCCATTTTTCTTTCTCCGCGTAATCGAATATTTACCTTGAGGCGGTTCTGATCTAATCCAAGGTTGTTGAAGCAAAGGATTATGTATTTTGTTTAATATAGAATGTATTTACTGAAAGTTATTATATATTTATAAATATTTGATTTTTTCTATCGAATATTATTTGATGAATAAGCCGATATTCAATGCAGCAGAGGGACTAATTAATTTTATTTCGAGTTTAATAGTAAGAAATTTGACTTATAATTTCGGTTCAAATGCATCATTTTAAAACGTTAAATTTCAGCAATAAAATAAAAGGAAAGTAAATGTATGAAATGCTTCATATTTACGCAATTTTTGAAATTTGAAAATCGTAGTTACTATTATATCTTAAACTGTATATAAATTTAGAGAAATAGTAAAGAAAAATCAATTTAAACGCGCACTAACGATCAATAACAAAATATATGTTTGTGTATACACTTGTATGTAACAGCGAGCCAGAAACAACACAAGCCCGTCCGTATAATGTATGTAAAATGCATTACAAGTTTCGTACTAAATATACGAATACGCGAATTGTTTAATAGAACAATTATTCACGATACGTGCACCAATATCCCGCATATATTTGTTTCCACCGCACTACGAATAACAAACGATCGTTTTAATTTCATTTACTTTACAACGGTAAAACTGGATAGTTTTATACAATGTATGGAAAAATATCTGAAAAGTAAAAAAAACGATTATTTTATAAATGTAGTTGTCAATAATGCAATGATTTTGGTCTATTTATTATTACTAGCTTTCGTCCACGACTCCGTCCGTGTGAAATTAAAAAAAAAGAAGTAAGTAGCCCATGTGTACTTTCAGACTATCCTCTACATCTATGCCAAATTTAATCGAAATCCGTTCATTCTAAAAACTCTAACAAACACCCATCCATCTAAACTTTCGCATTTATAATATTAGTATGATTTTATAACTTTTTTATTTCATTGTTTTAATCTATGTCTAAAAATTACGCTGTCGTATTAATTGAAAATATAATTTGTTATAAAAATATTGTACACCATCTGTTGTTGCGTCGGTTCACTTTGCAAATAAATAAATCATCTTTCCCGCCGTCCGGCCGCCGGTCGCCATCTTGTATCGCTAACGTGTTCATTTCCTCCGCCTATACATTTCCGGTCCATTCGATGCTGCCGGCCAGTATTTTTAAAAGAATTTGACGTAAATGCAAACTGGATTAAAACCATTGTCAACGTCTTTAGTAAGTTTTTTTACGCTAAGACAGGAACATTTCTAATTTCCTCTGTTTACAAGACTCAAAACTATCGCCTTTTAGAGCGTGTGTACCTTTGATTAAAGTATCTTACTGCGGTTTGCGATTGTCGATTGTTTCGCAGCCAATTCAACGGTTTAGTTGGATAACTAAAAATCAAGTAGTGTACCTTCATATAAGCTCATAGGAATCACAGGAAGAACAAATTTAATTAAATCAGAAAAGTCAATATTTACCTGATATTTCGAAAGGATTAAGTACATTTGTGTTACATAAACTAATTGCTAATAGCTTGCTCGCTCGCCAACCGATTCCGAACACAACAAGGAAAAAAGCAAATAGCCAATGTTGTTTTACTCGATATGGAGGCATCCAATCGATTCTAAGTTCGAAGCCAATCCCTGTAATTGCGAGCGTTTCAAATAAGAACAATAGGGGCGAAATTAGCCGGCTGTAGTGGTAAGTTACGCCGCGTGCTCGAATTTGCATCGCCCCCTCCGCGCCGGCCGCGCCTCTACCCCCCCTCAGCCCAGTCGACCACTAATTAGCCGTTAGTCGGCTTTTATTTCCAAGCTGGTGTTATCTAAGCCCTCGTAATCTGCTACCGCGACGCCCACCGACTGCTAGACAACAAAATAAATCTGATATTTTTTAAATTACAGCTTGGTAACTTAAAACTGTTAGGATTTATTGCGTTCACGTGAATACAGAAGTTGCATATAAACCTCAAGTAAGTAGAGTTACCATCAATACTAAACTTGAGTTGTAAAATAAATCTCCGGCAGTATTTACAAGCAATTAATCAAATAAATTAAAAAAAAACCTACAATGCAGAAGCTTCGAGTAGCATGTGGTCAATTTGCAGTTGTTGATATATCATCTTCCTTCGATAATATAAACAATGATATTCCAATTTTAAATCAGCAATTTGTATTTCACTTGTTTTTTAGAGCCCATCTGTATATCTACTAATCGACACGCATACTCAGAGCCTAAATATTAGTAACCGCGTTAAATTACTAGAGATTATAAAATAGATTAAAGGCGATAAACGATTTCTACACAATCTTGTACCATTGTGTGAAAACTTTCAACTAAATAAGATAAAGTGTAGCCGCGAGTTTTTCTCCGTCGCCCAGCTCGAGCCAGACGTCTGCCGGCGCTCGCCATAAATTCACGACTGTTTGTGATTAATTAACGTTGGTGATAACAAAATAACGAGTTTCAGACGTACTGGCTGACTTGAAAGCCGTCTGAGGGGAAACTATTTATCTGAGCATGTTATTGCCGTTATAAATTCAACCTGCAACAAATGACCAGTAACGTGCTCACATCTTTTGCAGCATTTGTAATACCTACAGATGTTTATTTGTACTAATATAATAAAGCGTAAACACACTACTTCGTGGCGTAGGATGTCAGCAATCACAGCATATTCTTTAATAAAAAGCCATACAATAACGGCACGCTTTCGGCTTATTTTCAACCTATCAAACTTAAGGGGTAAATAAATTGGAAAAAACCTTCACGTGGGAAAGGGACCATAAACAACAAGCTCTCAACATTAAGGCAGCAAGGTTATTACGGTGTTATCCACTGTTATTTTGTCATTTGTGCATTTGAATTTTGAGATTTGCAATTAAGACACTAAAGTAAAGTTTTTATCATTTAACGCAAATAAAGCCACGGGATAGTTAATAGTATATACATATGTTTCTATTTATCTTGTTATAACAAAAGTGTATTAACTTAGAACTTATTATGAAAATAGAAAAGAACATTTTGTAGATGACATTGCATTGGTAGCTTTTCGAAGACTCCTACAGATGTCATTTTAATGTTTGTTTAAGCAGTCGTCTGATGTAAATGTGTTAAATAAATCTACTAATGGCTTTCAGTTACCAGTTAACTTTAACTTAGTATTTTGCACGTGAAATTTCATTTGAAGTTACCTTAAACACGATCACATTTGCGCAGTGTTACATAATC